AAAATCAATCCATTCCATCTGTTGTATGTAAATTATACCTTGATTTTCTAAAAAGGAGTAAAAAAAAAAAAAGTAAAAAAAACAACCCACCTTAATGGTAAGTGAAAGAAGGAAGTCACAATATGATTCCATTTATGTAACATTCAAAAACAGGCAAATTGAATCAGTATCTTTTTCACAGTGAAACTATTTTCTGCATGAATCAAAACACTGGTTGCCTTTAGAGAGGGGGAAATGGGATGGGGGGGAGCTAGAAGTATTTAACACTTAAAAATCTGTGCATATGTAATTTTGACAAAAATAGAGACTAAAAATAAAATCATACCATTTGCAGGTTGGTGATACTAGCTTCAACAGAGACTTGCTGACATTGATTTCAAATAGAAAATTACTTGCGATGGGTGAATCTGGCAGAAACTCAGTCCAGAAGACTGAGTCCATTTGCTGTTGGTTGTGTAATGTGGGCCACCTTGCCACCAGTCAAGCATAAAAGACAGTGGCGAAAACACTGGAAAAGTGTGCATTAAATTAGAGTGAGGGCGTAGAATTGTGACAGAAATCCGATCTGTACTCCCTAATTACAAAGTCTCATTTTCACCCAACTGACACAAATGTGAAGTCAAATTAAATGTTGTCTAATTAGCCAGCACACACAAAACTTCAAGACCAGTGACTGGGTTTTATTCAGCCGAATAAATGAAACCCGAGGACTTGTAAACTGTCTCCATCAACCCAGATCTGCCTTCTCAGCTGACTGCTACAAGGTTAGGCCATTTTGTTTTCACACATCTCTCCTTTCAGGGCTGTGCTTGTAATATTTACAGAAAAAGGCAATGCTGGTAAACAGTTTCACACAATGAGGTGTGGGAGTTGATAGGGTCCTATTCAAGCTCTGAACTCCCCCGATGAGCTGCCAGAAATTGTTTTGAATGGCCCAGCTGACAGGGTGATGACTGATAAAAGAAAAACAAACAGCTTGGGCAATTCATGAAAACACACAGCACCAAGACAACTCCAAGTGGCGAGTGACAGTTAAGATAATGGAATTTTGGAAGCTTTTCTTAAAGGGTCCTCTCTATACAATTATCCTGTTAATAGATTCCCCCTTAATGTAGCTGGGTCTTCAACTTCTTTCCATAGAAAAATATTTATTATGGTCTCTGGTAGAGAAGTGCTGGCCTTGGACTTTTATACAATGGTGAGTTTTTCATACATTTTGCTCTTCCCAGAGTGAGATGGATTTTAGTGGAGGCTCATGTCTGCTATTTAAAGAAATAAAATATCCTATTTCCATTTCGATTACTGGAAACATTTTGAAGCGTTCCCCCCCACCACCCATTTCTTTTGTTTATAAACCATTTGCCACAAACTGTTGATTAAAAAATAAATATTGGTTTACACATTCAACTGCCAATATTTTAAAGGAGAACAATTTAAATGTGGTTGAAGTCAATTTCTAATTCACATAGCCTATTTTGGGTTCATTTCCTTAAATCAGGCGTGACCAAGCAAAAAACTATCAATTTGTCAACGTTTTGCCTTTGCACCCAATGGTTTTTCACGATATACCTTGTGATTTCTGTAACCATGGCCTATTTCTTAATTAATGTTTTAGAAAGCAGAAATGTGAAGACACATCTAACGTGTGTGTATAGATACACATAAATACCATCGTATCATGTGTCCAGAGAAAGAGAAGGATGGAAAGAGAGAAGAAAGCAGGCAGAAGAGAGTAGGCGTAGAGAAAAATGTTTGGGATTGTGTTGGAGCCTGTGGGGTCAAGCAGCTTGTTAGAAATGCAGAATCTCAACCAAGTCAGAATTTGCATTTTAACAAGGTCCCCAGGAGGTTTGTAGGCACTTCAAGGTTTTGAGAAGTTCTGTAATTTAGATGACTGATTCTCCTTAATCGTTTAAGTTTTATAGCTGTAAACACTTAACAAGTATGATTACCTAGGTTTTAGAAAAAGTTTAAAATTACATCATAAATTATTTGAAGGCTATCTCAAAGTAATTTCCTAAGTCTTCATTCAGATTTCTTATTTCCTCCTCCTCCCCCTGAAGAAATCTGAGAAAGTCTTTGAGCTCTACAAGATTTCTAGGGAGGTCCATCTCCTCCTCAGTCACTTTCCTTTTACCCCAAACATTCTTAGACTCATCAGCACATTTTTGAGCGCAAGGCATGGTGCTAGAGCCTGGATTTGTAAAATTTAATCACTGTAGTGAACCATAGGACATCTATAACAATAATAAAGACATTTTAAAAATCATATCTTGATTGTTGTATCAATTATTTAACTGCTACAAGAGTGGATAAGAGAGATGGGAGAATCCTTGGAAAGGTCCAGAGAACAGAAGTGGCCTTCACCCACCCACTACAGTCAGCAAAAATTTACAATTAGATGTTCATTCTTTTAGGTTTTGTGGTTGCTAGTATTTATATAGAGTCATCTTTAAACTTGAAGGGATCTTGAGATCTAATCCAACTCTCAACAAATGTCCTGGGTGTTTTCATAAATTTCAATACATATCAATTAAAAAATTTAACATGGTCCAAAATACTGTAAGCAAAGACAAAGGCTAAATCAGGAAAAATATTCACAATGCGTTTATTATGAGGGCTCGTTCTCTTAATTGACAAAGAGTTTATATAGTTCAGTTGGAAAAAGACACATCCAGTGGGAAAATGGGGCAAGGGTATGAATAGAAGGAAAAAATACAAATAGTGAAAAAACATACGAAATGGTGCTCAACCTCATTCACAATTAAAGACATACAAATCAAAACAACTATGACAAAATAAGTCTTACCCGTTATGTTGGCATAAATTAAAATATTTGATAATACCAACTGTGGGCAGAACTAGGCACTCTCATCCATTGTGTGTAAGATTATAGTGGTTCAACTGTTCAGACGGGCAATGTGGAAATATCTGTCAAAATTGCGAATGCACATACCCTTTGACCCAGCAATTCCATGCTAGGAATTTAACCCAGGAAAATACTTGCTAAAGTATCTAAACTGGATGGATAGGAATAGGCAGTGCAACATTGTCTGTAAATAGACATGTGGATGCAACCTCAAAAAGCATCATGCTTTTTGGCTGGACACTCCCTCCCAACCCACCCTGTGGCCGTGCAACAAACAAGGAAGATCACCTCGGCCATGCAAAGAATCAGCTAGACCAGCACGTGCTGGATACGGAACGATCTCTGGGATCTACCAGTTATTCAGAGATACGGAGAAGAAAAGCAGCGTTCAGAGCAGTGTACAACTTGATCTCTTGAGATTAAATAAAAATACACACACACACACACACACAGGTATGTGATTCATTTTTGTTTTTCGTGGAAATATAAGAACCAGCTAGTAGTGATTACCTTTGGGGAGAGAGACAGAGCAGTTAGCAGAAAGGGTAACAAGTGAAAAGAAAGCCTTTTAATTTTTATCACAGGTTTATCTCTATCTTTTGAATTTTCTAGAAATGTGGTGAGTGTATGTGTACGTGTATATATTGTGGGCAAGCAATGCCCTGGCTTTTGAAATCACAAGCCATTTTGTTTAATTCAGTCCCAGGTATACTAGCATTAGGGGAGACTCTTTGGAGTGAAATTATTCTCCGTGAGCTCATCTTCACCACCTTATCTCTGCAAGTGGGTGCATTTCCCAACCACAAAGTAGCGTGACCTCCCAAAGAACGGCTGTGTCATCGAGAGCCAGTGGTGACAACATTTTCAGATGTCTTGGAAACCTTTGAGAATCTGCTGAAAGTATAAGAAAAACTTAGCTGCACACAAAATTCTGGGTCCAATTTTGAGAGTTTTGCAGAACCCCTGAGATATAGCCATGGATTGATTGTATGGGCTCAATGTCCCAAGGGTAGGGATTAGCCGCCCTAGAGAATCAATGTCCCAAGGGTAGGGATTAGCCGCCCTAGGTTGGGTCAGAATGACACCAACTTTGTAATTTCATACACAGCTCTTTGCCTGGACTAGCTGGACTTCGAGACTCTGCCCAGGGGCTGCTCGTGTGGGAAGAGCTTCCTGAATGTCCCACACCCAACCCAGCTGCAGCACTCGACGCCTGTCTCTATGGACCACGGTGTCTATCATGCTGCGTCTTAATTGTTCGCTTGTCTGATTCACCATTAAGACGGTGCTCTGGCAGGGCAAGTTGCATACTTTATAGATCTTTTTTTTTTTCAACAACTGGAAACATTAAAAATAACCAAATGAATGAATACTCATTATAAATCACCAAATCTTTGCGAAGAACTACATAAAAAGTTGGCATAGCCCATTCTGGGCTGCAGAGCCCTCTTTCTGGTTCTAACATATAATCAGTATGATACCTTTCTTTTGGAATTGTGTAAACATTCTGGGGGAATTACAACTTTATCAGTCCAGGCCCACGTGGACCTTACGTATGATTTCTCTAGTCCAAGGTTCTGACTCTTCCCTTGACCCCACTGAGCCATTGGTCATAAGATGAATCCAGCCTGTGAGTGCGGACGGGAGGCTCAAATCGGAACATCTACTCTTTGGGAAAAGAAGAGTGGGTCATCTGGTCACCATCCTCCAAGCAGGTCACTACTTTTGCTTCCCAAGTTACTCATACCTGGTTTGGTTTTTAAAAAAAGAGTGGGGGATAAATACCATCTAGACATTCATTAATCCTGCCACCAACACTCTTCCTCTGGGGAGGAGTAAGAAGACTAAGAAAATAACTGTGTAATGTCCCATACTCTAGGGACATTAAATGTTGCATTCTGAACTTTAGCCCCACTCTATGTTCTAGCCAAAGAGATAATAGTAGAAACGGTGCTTTATTGTCACACGTCTGAGTGGGGCTTGTAGGCCACCGTCTACGAATGAAGTCACGACAGTTCACTTCTTCTCTCTCAGACTCAGTGTATTAGTCAGAAAGAAGGGGCTATGCTTCAGTAACAAATAAACCTCAAAACATCAGTGGTTAGATAAAATAAGGGTTTCTTTTACTCACATGAAGTCCTCTGTGGATTGGGTGACTCTCCAGGGTGGCTGTCCTCCATGGGATGACTTAGCAGTCTGGGTTGCTTGTCTTTAGTGGCAATGCCAGCTCAACACATGAGGGAGAGAGAGTGCGGAGCACTCACACCCACTCTTCCAACTCAGTCTGGAAGCGGTGCACTCCATTGCATCCACCGCTGGCCAGAACTAGTCGCGTGGTCTCAAGCCAACCGTGATGGCACAGGGAAGTACAGTCTTCCTGCGTGCCAAAGAAGAAACCCAAATGGGACCTGCACAGCACATAGAATTGTCTTTGCCACATTCAGTGTCCTTGTCTGTAAAGTGAGGACACTACCCACCTCGCCGTGTTGCTGCAAGGATTAAATGAAAATGCAAGTGAAGGGCACAGTGCACAGTAGACAACCAAGACATGGTGTTCAGTTATTCTCACTGAAGCCAGTTACTTAGTAACTCCCCATTTGTCGAGCCATCAGAGAGGCTTCTTAAACTGTGGGGACACCAGGCCTTGGAGGGGTGAAGCACTGCAACGTGTGAGCTAGCGTGCCCGTCAGCACCCCTATTTATCAGCGAGAGAAGACTCGGCCCTGGGATATGACACTCAGGAGCGCCTCAGGCTGTCACTGGGCAGTGGGAGCCAACTCAGAACGGCCTGGTCGCCACTGCTAGGCGGTCACATTCCAATGAGACACCTGCACAGAGGTGTATCCTACCTTCCCTGGACTCCACCAGCAGCCAAGGAAAGACAGGAAATTCCAACCACATGTATTGTTCTACACGTTCATGTATTGTTTTACATGAACCATAAACTCGACTTGACTTTTTTCATTGTGATGATAATAGAAGTGTCTATTGTTTTTTAAAAATAGTACATTCCTCTAAATTGTTTTGCTATCATTTGTATAACCCCCACATGATAAAGTTGCTCTTAGTTTGGTTAAATATGTTCAATCCAAGTATAATGTAAGAGTCAGATAATATATGATTAAATGTGATGTAATTAATCTTTAACTCCTGGGGTGCAGGGAGGAAGACAAAGAATTAAGAATATTACGTGGCAACTCTGGGAGTAGGTGATATAACCATGTCACATTCCTGTTTCCTGGTTTTCTGCCTGTATTGTCCCCGCCCTTTTAGCACTGTGCCTGCAAACACAGTGGTGCTTTCTCACTCCACCGTCCAATGCCACTTACCCCGTGGGACTCTACACGGGCAGCCCTGCACTGCCTTCTAGAATCTGATGCTCTAGAAATGTACTACCTACCACTGCCCACTATGCGTTTTTTTCAGTGACTGCAAAAGACGCACTGAAATAGGTTAATTTTGTATCTTCCCTTAAGCGTCTCATTAATGGCAAAAATACACCTTTTCAAGAGTTGTATATTTTCAGTTGCGACCTCCTACTAGGAATAATTTGTAATAAGAAAATACAAAGTTTGCCTTGCATGTTTATCAAAATAATTTATCTAATTTAGACCCTATATTTCAATTATTTTTTTCCAAATTAAAAATATACTTACAAAATAATAACCAAATATATAGATTATACAGTCACCTAAGAATAGATAAAGCATTTCTAATATTCCCTAATTCACTTGATTTTACCTCAATTTGTTCTTCAAAACAAATGCCCGGGAGAACAGAAGGGCTTGTTTGGAAAGGTAAGCCATGGGCCGCCGTTCCACATGGTGGACTCAGCAGAGCAGAGCGATTGCCTTTTCGTGGTGGACACGTGTGAAAATTACTTTTTAGGAAATAAAATCATCATCTCTACGTCTTTTAGGACTCTCCAGAAAATTATCTAAAAGCTACCGTGTCACCTAACTCCAGGGAAAACATGCTGGTACGCCCAGCACGTGTTAGAATCGGTGCTCCTGGTCCGATGCTAGCGTTGTGTCTCACTCATGACACACATTCACCAGTGAACTGAATCCCTTTCCACATCTTACACTGCCCTCTAACATGCGGCCAATGTAAAATGACATAACACGCTGAAAATTGTAATGTTTAAAACTGTGATTATATAGAGATCCAAATAAGTAGCATCTAACAATACTTTCGAATGCTAAAATGAAATAACAATGGCTTTGTGCTATTCTGAAAATGCATCCTCCTCAGATAACAATAATCATATGTAATAAATAGTTACTACCCTACATTGTGTATCTATGTGCAGACACTGTTATAAGGACATCCCCCTGAAAGGCCCTAGAAGGCAGGTATTATGAATATTCCCATTTTATAAATGAGAAAACCAAGGGCCAGAGAGGTGAAGTAACCTGGGTGGGGTCACACAGCTGATAGGGGGCAGAAGCCCCTTTAGTAATTTTGCTATGTACACCTTCTTTGAAAGGAATCTGGACATTTCCATGGGCCTTTCTAAACTTTAAATTTTCTCTCTGACATGCACAGCTGAATAAGAAATGCAGAGCATAGGAATGGCATGCTAGGCTTGCTGTATAAATGAGCAAATAACTCAGCTTCTATGAACCTCTGTTTCGTTATCTGTAAAATGGTGATAATGCAAAATTGTTACCCTCCCTGCAAAAATTGTTGGAGGCATTAACACCGTTAGGGGCTGTGTCGTGTCCCCCCACTCCCTCCCACCCCCCAAACCAAAGGCACATGCTGAAGTCCTAACCCCGAGCACCGCAGAACGTGACTGTAGACTAGGTCGCGTTGCACACCGAGCCCCACGCTAGGCCTCGAGGGGCACGCTTAGCCCGTAATGCCCTACCCAGCTCGTTCCTACACTGGGGCTGCACGAGTGAGTCGGTGCTGCTGCGCCAGCCAGCTGGCCTCCCTCCCGCTGTGATGCCACCGGGGAAGCCACTCCAAGTGACTAACCATTAGCATTTACTGCCAAAGTGCCAACCCCAGTTGTCTAAAGAAAGGTGCTAAGAAGTTTAAGAATCTGGGCTTAATTGAGCCAAACAGCTTGACGCAGAGAAACCTCCAGCTCAGCTCTAGCCACTCTCTCTCCCAGGGGTGGCAAGGGGGAGAGAGACAGGGACAGAGACAGCGACAGAGAGAGGCTGACTCAAACCAAGCCCTGAACCACCTTTGCGCAAACTCAAAGGGCAGGTGCTCTGAGGTCCAGCCCCTTTCTGCCCAAGACCGCCGCCACCAAGTCGCACCCGAGCCCCAGAGTGATCGCTGCAGCGAGAACAGGAATAGGGTCCCGAATGTTCCAACCACATGATGCCCAGGGTGTCCAGCACAGCTCCTCACACACAGTGACGTGCGGTAAATTCCTGTTGACTGACTACATTTTAAAATAAAAATCAGTCCATTATCACCCATTCAGTCTAGTAAATTATAATAACATCTTTATTAAGTTGATTGAATTATGTTGGCTCAATGCAGTCACCTATTCTACTGTGCTAAAAATTCTGCCAAGAGTTTGCAAATTATAAAAAAAAAAAAGTCAATTATTCTATGACTTGAAACCTTCAGCCAAAATGTAAAAGTAAAATAAGAATTATGTTGGTTTATTTTCAATAGAGAAAAACGATCTAGAAAATTTGGAAGTCCCTCTTTAGTTCTAGAGACTGTAACAGTCAAAAGAAAACAATTCGGCAGGCTAGACACCATTAAGGGTTCCCAGATCAGGGGGTGTCTAGCCGGCTTGTATTTATTCCAGCCTCATTCGTGACTTCCAGCCACGCACAGTGAGGGTTTGCAAATGGCATATTTCTTATGCCGTGCTGTGAGCGGCGCCTTCTCGGGCTGGCTTTGCCTGCCACCAGTACAGATGCTCCAAGTGACTGCTTTCTTCCTGGAAGATGCAAAGGGATGAGCTTTTATACATAGCAAGGGCTTCCTTAACGGATTCAGCATACTTAGTGCGTGGGATATACGGACCTTCTCAATCGAAATTATATTTAGTAATGCTTAAAAAAAAAAAAAAAAAAGGAAATGCAATCTAGGAAAATGCAATCTCTCATTCAAATATCAGGGTTTCTAGCACCTTATCTGAAGAGACCTCTCAGATTCCTCTGGCCTTCTGTCTCCTGTGTGGCTCTAATAACCAGAAAGCACAAAGACGGAAAATGAATTCAGGCAGCATAAGTCGTAACCCTCCCCCGTGTTCCGTTTGAAGTCAGAATGTGCTCCACGGGAGGTGAGGGCTGACTGTGGCTGCCAGCAAGCAGAAATGTTCGGCTACTTAACACCGGGCCACATGTGGCAGCTACGAAAACATCACCAGGATGTGAAATCTGTGTGCTTCAGTGGTATTTTCCCTGCCCTCAAACCCTTTCAGACCTCAGGAACTGTGGGAGCGGACGAACTTGGGGGGTGGGGTGGGGGAGATTGACAATGGGGACTATACAGTAAATCTTAGAACCACGTCTTGCTGTTTTGATTCCACGTGGTTCTATGAGCCTGCAACCTTGGGCAGCTGGAGTGATGTATTTAGCACAAAGCCTAGCGACAGGAGATTTGGAAAGCTGACCACAGGAAGGCCAGGTGTCTCACATTAATTGTAAGTCAGAAATGCATGTCAGAGTAGGTCCCGGGGTGTCTTTCTCAGGCTAAGAACTGCATTTGTTTAAGTTACTCCGGAATATAGTTTCCTTTTTCCTGGAGACAAAGGGCTGTGTACGTTTGCCAAAAATAATTCAGGGGCCAGCTTTGGTGCTCCTCTTTGGCAGATGCCAGTCCTGCCGTTTCAGGCGAGGAATTCCCTGCCAGACGACAGCACGCACCCTGCAAATGGTCGGTGGCTGGGAATGTTAGGCTCACGCTTTCTCCTCGCTGCCCGGTGGAGTGGAACCAGACAGATGACCTCCACGATGTATTTGTCCTCTGAGATGTCATGACTCTAGCCGGTGACTCTGGGGTGCTGAAACGTGGAGGGAGAAAACGGTAGGACGTGGCTGGGCCAACAGAAGCTTTAGCGTCAGACGGGCCCAAATCCAAGTTCTAGCTCTTTCATTCCCGAACACCATAAACTTGAATGACAGCTCATATTCTCTGAGCCTTAGTTTCCCCACCTGGAAAAGTATAAATAATAGGGATAATCTACTCCCTTACAGGAATTAAATGAAATACTACGTGCTACACATGTAAATATATACATAAGCACATAGTAAATGCTCAATAAATGTGAGCTCCCATTATTAAAATTATGAATCAACTTGCTTTGTCCACAGAGAGTCCCTATATGGCCCCTTTTCTTGGAATTCCAGCTATTAACAGGTGCACAAATTCACAGTTGTACGCTGATTACAGGTAAGCAATTAAGAAATTTAGCCCCATTAGATCCTTTGACTTAACATAGGTTAAGACCAAAAAAACAAAGCTACTGTTTATTCTCCCTTTTGAGCCACTCACACCTGTCTGAGTCTCCACTCCTGAGTCTGTCCTTTGGGGCTGCCCTGTCTTCTCCACAGATGAGCATTTATTAGGCACCTGCTTGGTGCATATGTAGGACCCCGAGAACAGGGTAGAAGCTGCATCTGAGGCATTTACAAAGCAGCAGAAGAGAGAGGACATGCACGTAAACCGTGTGGATGACGGCCACAGCCATCAGGCCAGCCACCGGCCAGCAGCCCCGACCTCGCCCAGGAGCTCGGCAGGGAGGCTTAGAAACTACCTGTGTCTGAAGCCATCCAGTTCTTCCGCGTTCCCCTGTGCATTCTCTCTCTCTCTCCTCCTCCAAGAGGACTCAGATCAGGCAGAGGCTGTTTAGGGGAAAGATGGTGAATTTGGGGGTGCCTTCCGCCCCCATCCCAGAAGTGAGGCTCGGTGGCACACAGTGGGGTGTGCATTCACAGCAAAGTGGCATGTTTTTAACACTAGGGAGCAGCGGTCCCCAAACTGTTTGGCACCAGGGACTGGTCTCATGGAAGACAATTTTTCCACGGGAGGTGATGGGAGCCCTGGGGAGGGGAGCGGCTGTAAATACAGATGAGGCTTCGCTTGCTCACCTGCTACTCACGCCCTGCTGTGTGCACCCCCCCACACACACACCTGCTTTCCTAAGTTTCATAGAAGATGATTTTTCCACGGACAGAGCGGTGGTGGTGGAGCTCCACAGCCGAGTCCGTGGCCCAGGGGTTGGGGACCACAGCCAGGAAACACTCAGAAAACAGGCATTTTCTCTGAGCCCAAGGACTGCCCTTGCTTCCTGAGCTCTGAAAGCCAGCGGGATGGCAACCCAGACGCTTCGTCAGGATTTCACCCCAGTGAGATGATTTTCTCTGCACTAGTTCTCTTTTCCCTGGGCACATTCTTTCTTCTCCCACTCCTCATGCACCCCAAAACCACCTCCTCTGAGATGCTTCAGCTGTAAGGATTTCACAGCCCGTAAGTATAAAAATTTTCAAAGCAAAAAGTTCTGGAAAATGTCTTGTACTATTTGAAAAAATATATTTTTCTGGCAGAAATAAGCAAGCGTGGTAGATTTTCTCCTTAATATTGTGAGCTGCTAGTTTCAGCTGGGGGACAAAATAATAAAATTCTTCCATGGCGGCATGTAAGCAAGAAAGAAGTCATCGACTGGTCAGACATTCAAGCAATTTCTAAAAGGTAGAAGGAAGATGGGGTCATCTCATAAATCTATATGCATTTAATCTCCTGTCTTTCCTAAAGACCCCCCAAAAGTTATTGCACAGAAATACAAAAAGAGTACAAGTACATAGAGAAAACAAAAGGAATAAGATATTCCTGTATAAAAGATATAAAAATAATTTTAAAAGCAACCAAAACCATTCTAGAAGGCAGAAAGTGGGTAGAAAACTGACAAATTGGCTTTAAAGAGAGAAGCCAGAATCTAAATTCTGCAGAAGGATGCAATGATGAGAATAAAGCCCATGGTACCTACAGGCTCAGAAACTGGGGGAGCCAGGTATTGGGTAAAGGGGGGCCAGGTAATGAGGGCTAACAGTAAGAAGGGCTGAAAGTCCATGTATACAGCAGACTCCCAGATCTCCACCCTCCTCCTATGCAACTAAATTGGAGGCTCCAGACAGCAGCTAAGTGATGCCTCTCAAATAGGACATTAGAAAGTTCAACTCCTGAGACCCAAACCTAGAGAAAGAGAGTCTTCCAGATTCAGAAGTTTGAAGGGCCCCCTGAGCCAAGATTGGCTTGTCCCCTGATTATATGCCAGTGAAATTCATCCAGCCTCCAAAAATGGACTCAGAGCCTCTAACCAGCTTTTTAGTAGTAGCTTTAACTTAAATATTATAGCTAATGACCACAAGACATTTGAGGAGATATTCCAACATAAAAGAGAAAGACTAAACAAACAGAAAAACGGGATCTGAAGGAAGCTGAAACCATGCAGAGCACAAAAGACAATCGTATTTAAAATCATATTATTAGAGAAGGAGAATGTACTGTATCTATGAAACAAGAACAGGCTATTACAAAACAGGAACCATCAAGGTATAAGACAGAGCTTTGAAAAAGTGTGATACTGACAGTACAGAAATTTTCAGATGTAAATATACTTATTTAGAAATCTATGGAAGGATGTGCTCCATGAAAATGATAAGAAAGAGAAAGACATAAAACTAAGAAAACAGGGAGTCAAACACATTAAAACATGAAAAATAAGTTTCAATATGACAGCCAGGTAGCAAAGCAAGAAAGTAATCAATCCAAACTGGAGAAGGAGAAAAATAAGTTTCCTGGAGAGAGTTCCTTAGAAAAGAAAAACCAAATACCTAAAAGAGAATTGATTAATTATCATCTGATACATATAACTGTTTAGAAAATATTGATAGCCTATAATGGGATTTGATGGAGCACACGGGACAAAGCAAATATAAAAACAAAGCCTCTCCCTTTTCCCTCACCCTTCTTGTCTGAAGCGGACAAGAAACCCAGAAGGTCACTCTCTGACTTTTCCCTCCCTTCTCCCCTGAAAACTCTTATGTGACAGGTATCCTACCCTACAACCAGCAGGAAGGAATGTCACGCAGGGATGTTAAGAGGAATCAGAACAAACAGGCCTTGCTAAATTCTCCCCAGTTTATAACCAGTAGACCACACACTTTCATCCTCCAATCATTAATACTTCTGCAAGGTCTATCTACTCTCCATCAAACCTAAGCCTAAAAATACACAGATTTCCCTGTTTCTTTGGGCCTTCTTTCTGAAGAATCTGTGTCATATAAAACTTACATTAAATCATTTTCTGAGCTTTTCTTTTGTTAATCTTTCTTTTGTTATAAAAGTCTTAGCCATGAATCTCACCATGGGAGAGGAAAAGGTATTACTTTTTCTCCCATACAAATAAAAATGAGATCAAACTTTTCTTTAAATGAAAAGACGAATAAAATAAAACTCTGGCAAGTATGACCAAAAAAGTGGAGAAACCAGATTAAACCACATTTGGATTAAGAGAGTAGATACAGATACAGAGAAGACTTTTAAATGAAAATATTATGTAGACCTCTATAATGATAAATTGAAAATCTAAGTGAAATGGATCATTTTAAGAAAATACAAAATATTTAGAAAAGAATTCAAATGTACTCCCCCTCTTCTCCCAAAACAAAGCACATATTCATTAATTCAATAAATATTTATTAACTATTATTGTTTATCATGAGGAATCAAGATTAGAAAAATATTATCCCTTCCCCTAAATTAATCGATAAACTCAACGTATTTCCAATCAAAACCCTAAAGGAATGTTAAAATGAAATTTGCAAACTGACTCTAATATTCATCTGAAAAAGTAAGTGTGTAAGAAGTTAAAGTTATTTTTGAAAAAAGAAATACTTGCCTTAATAAATACTAAAAGACATTATAAAAATGTCTGCTGAGTCACAATTCTGCAAAGAAATTTCCCTCCCACCCCCAAGGCCCCCACACCAAAGAAAACCTTGCTCAGAGTTGTTTCCATCAGGAGGGCACCCGGAGCTGGATAGAGAGGGGAGTCGAAAATGGGGAGAAGAATTCTTACTTTCCAAATTGTATTAGTTTTTTATTGCTGTTGTGGCAAAGTACCACAAACTGGGCAGTTTAAGCAACATAAATTTATTTTATGTTTCTGGTTAGAAGTCTGAACTGGGTTTCATTGGGCAAAACTCAAGGTGTCAGCAGAGCTCTGTTCTTTTCTGGGGGACTCTAGAGGAGTGTCTGCCTTCTTGCCTTCCCCAGTGACTAGGGGCCGCCCACATTCCTCGGCTTGCGGTCCACTCCCTCTGCCGCAAAGCAAGCAACGCCCAGTTGAGTCTTTCCCGCAGCGGATCACTCCGACACTGAGCCTTCTGCCTGTCTCTTCTACGTTTCAGAGCCCTTGAGATTACACTGGACTCGCCTGCATAATCTAGGATAATCTTCCTATTTTAAAGTCATCTGATTGGGGACTTCAATTCCATCCTGCAAGCTTCATTCCCCTTTGTTGTATAATTCACAGGTTCTGGGATAAGGCTCTGGACATCTCTAGAAGATCATTATTCTGTCTACTACAACTTTACGCTTTTCTAAACTATTTGTTTTGTTAACTTATATATATATATATATATTACTTTTAAAATTTAAGGCTGAGTACCTGATAGTGAGCAATTACAAAATGTTAAAAAGACTTAAATTTACTTTTATCTTATAATGACAAAAAGTGTGATGCTTCAGGATTAGACAAATGGAATAGTCCAAAAGAACTAGGATCCAGAGACAGATACAGGGGGAATATAGCATTAGACAAAGATCATATTTCAAGCCATGGAGGAAAAAGAATGGACAATTTACATGAGGAAACTGTATGTTACTGGAAATAAAAGGCTTGATCTTTATGTCACACAGCATACCCAAACAAATCCCACATGGATTAAGATAAAAACACCAAAAAAATTAAAAGTAGTAGAAAAAGATGTAGGAAAATATACTTGTTATCTCAGGGTGGTGAAAGGCTTCTTATACCCCAATCCATAAAGCAAAACTTGTTAATATTAAAATAACAAAGTAAAAAATATGAGAAATAGGCTGAGAAAAAAATATTTGATAAGTATAACAAAGAGTCAGTGGCCATAATCAATAAAGATTTTTTTTTTTTTTGTAATTTGGTGAGACAACACTGTAGGAAAATGAGTAAAAGATATAAACAGGTCAATTTTCAAAAGAAGAAATGCAATAGCAAGACGTATGTGAAAACACATTCACACTCACTAATAAGGAAAGGCAAATTAAAAGAAAAAAGCAAGGAAACTCTGTAGGCACACCGTATTAGTCAAGAGCTCAGAGTGTTAGGGTGTGCCAAACCTTCTTGGTTTGAAGCCTGGCTCTACTGATTACTCATTGTGTGGCCTTGGGCAAGTTAAATGTTCTATGCCTCAGTTTCCCTATGTGAAAAAGAGGGATAATAATACATTTTAACTCTTTATATTGGAAAGATGGAATGAGTTAATATAGGTAGTGATTTGAATAATGACAGAGTAATCAGTCAATAAATATTTTGTCATGACATGTACACAGAGAGGTACACACGAGGGCTGCAAACACACACTTATTACACTCAGAAGGTCACTGTAGTAAAAACTGGATATGACTTTAAATGACACCAATGGGAAATAGATAAATTTTATACCTCTAAAATATGGAATAAAAATTAGTATGAAAAACAATGAGTATGATCTTGGGCACTAATATAGGAAGATGTCTATGATAAATTAAGGAGGAAACAAAGCAAGTCACAGACTGCTATGGAATAATCCAAATTATGTTTTTAACATATGCTATATGTAATATATGCATATAATATACCCATATGTGCACACGCATCAAATGCACAGAAAATGTTATGAAAGGACTCCTTCAAATTGTCAGCAAAGGTACCAGGCAGAGAAGTAGTAGAGTATCAAAAGATGAGTTTGTCAAATAAACTACATTTTTCCTTTTTCTCTTTACTTTTAAAGCAAGCATATATTGTTTTAAAAATTACAAAAAGTGAAACAGAAAAGGAGTCATAATCAGAATAAATTCTCAAAATCTAATACAGGGACAATGATAAGCAAAAGAAAATTATAAAATCAATTTACCCTACAACTTTGTGTTTTCTTCAGAGAACGTCAGTTTAGCTATGAGGTTTTCAAATGCTTTATACATGGGCTAAAAAATGTCAAAGTCATATATCTTTCAAGGATAAAAATTCTAGAATAGATAGTCCCCATTAATTGTTTCCATTGTACATAATATTTTGTAAGTTTTACATCTCTAGGAAAGTAATGTTTGCAAACTCAAACCATGGACCTTAAATATCACTTGAGTGACATAAACAAATTAAAATAAGGCCAATCTAAGCCAATTGTGTTGATCAACCTGATCCCCTCTGAAAACGAGAAATGAAGTCAAATACCCTTTAATACTATTTATTAGTTGAGTAATATAATACATTTTGACAAGTTGAACAGTTGTAACAGGCGGCGGTTAAAGTCTCTGCAGGGCCTGTTTAGAATAAAAACAGCAGTGAGAGACAGCTCTATAACTGGGTTTTAAGAACAGCTCAGCCATCAACTGTATCCTAACCAAGTACTTTTATCCAGTTAATTTACAGAGTGAATCCCTTAGGGTCTCTAGCCGTCTACCACTGCAGCTCATTAGAGCCCAATGGCCAACTTTTCTCATTGTAGCACTGAAAGCATTTATGCTTAAAATGTAATTAAACTTAAAACAAACAAGATCTTTATTCCCTGACAGTCCCGCTATTTTTAAATTGACAGAGGCATGAACTTATATAGGATTATTTAGAAAGCACTATACATTTCAGCCACTTATGGCAAGACATTTGCCCAACTGTTCATCCTGCATGCAATTAGAAATCTAAATACTTGGGTAACGGGTTTCTGTTGGGAATTAAACTTGCAGATCTCTTACAAACGAGTAATGTGGTAAGACTTGCTGTCCAATGAGGTGTCTTATTGAAATATCCCAGGCCGTTCCACTTGTCACAGCTGTCGTTTCAGCCTCCTGCACTCACAGTGTATAGCTTTCATTACGAAAATAGAAATTTGTGTCCTAAGTGCTGTTACATTACTAATGCTAAATATTTAATTCCCTGGGGTTCCAATTATGGTTGAGCACTGGCAACACTGATTCCACTTTTTAATAACAACTGTAAAAGCAATTTGAGCATTTTTCAATTAATTAAATACATAGTGAACGAGTAACCTCTTGTCATTTTGCCCTCCAGGACCTGAGCTAATTGGTGTAGAATAAAATGTTTTGAAAATTAACTGATATTCTGGTCTGCACACTGTTATGCCATTAAGTTACAGTTTGCAAAATGAAGTTTGTCTTCTAATAGTTACACGCAATGTAGTCTGCAGATGTGAGAAAGTACCTGCGTTTTATGTACTTTACCGTGCCGCTAATTAGAGCCAAGTTTAAAGTCAAGTGTGCTTCCTCTAAACACCAGTCAGTATCAATAATACTGTGCATTGTTCACGGACGAATGCAACAAATTTCAACAGAAGAAAGTTTCCCAGCTTTCATTTATGTGTTTTCACAATTTCGCTTAAACATTTTGAAAGTCTGCTCTTAAGAATTGCTATCATTAATTATACAGAAAATTAATCGCACAGAAAAATTATCACATAGAAAAGTTCAAAAATAAATTTTTAGATTTTTTTTCATAAGAGAAAAATTCTAAATCCAACGTCTGGGAAAGACCTTCTTCCATTTTAAACACTTTGTTGCAGTTTCTTGTTTCACCATAGAACAATGTCATCAATAAGCTCCAAACTGGTGTTTCAGCCGAAAAGGATGAATCATAAAAGCAGATGCCATTTTACTCACATTTTAAAATGAACCTTTTTCTGAAGTACAATGAAATCTGATTAAAGAGACCATCTCCTTGTAGAAAAACGTCTCTGACAGGTGTTCTTCCAGCTCGGAGTCTTGATTGGCCATAATCTAAAATCCATGCTCAGAAAGGGAATGCCTTCTCAGCAGCTGTCTGACTAACAGAAATGATCCCCTAAACAGGTTTCACTGAATTAGGAATCTCAGCAGAAGCATCGTGGCTCACGGAGGAAGACACAGAAAGTGAAATTAATCACTCTGGGAGAGAGGGGCAAAAATAACAGGGAAAATTTAATCACTTCCATACCAATCTTTAGGGTTTAAAACTTTAATATTTCTAAGATTTTAGTAACATCTCTGAGAAATGAATTTTAATTATAGGATTAACTTGGTAGCACCAGTGAGTTAATATAAATAGATCAGCCTAAATTCCTGTTTTGTTTTTTTTTTATTAAACTAAACTATATAATGAGAACATTTTAGATTTCTGAGGTTCAGCGGACTTCTCTGGAAGCAATCTAGTCCATCAGCAAATACATACACCCACATATAAATAAAAATATATGTAAATTGGTTTAAGGTTTATTTAAATATTAATCTGTATAGAATGTAATATCTTAATAGACTTTGTAAAACACTATCTTAATATGTCCTCTCATTAACAATTCTTAAAACAAGCCATAAATTTTAAATCCAGTTACACAAATTATTTTTGCCAAAGACCATTTACTTTTTCTAGCCCAGAGAACATTTTAAAATCTAAAGGTAAAAATAAAGGAAACTTGTGCTTTGGATACAAGTGGCAGCCACTTTTGTATTAAGAAATGGATCAGAATTTATTTCAAAACACTTATGTACTAGTTTTGAACAATAATAATTTTATTAACCGACTAATATGTGGCCAAAATACAACTAGAAATAATAATACCTAGTCCTTTAAAAACACTGGACAATTAATTAAAGCGACTATATTTAGTACCAGGGTCCCCAATTAGTGCGCCAGTTGGAGTTGGTTGTCACATGGGCGTCTCCACCCAGCTCTGGTGGCAGCAGGCTGACAGCTAGCTGAAGATGATGAGATATCGTGCCCGCAGGATCACATGCCCATCAAGCGCCCCTCCTCTCTCTCTGGGTGACCTGACACTCCATGCTCTCATTGGGGTTGGCAGCCCAATCTACACAGTCAGAATTAAGTCTCACCTATTACCAATATTGAGTACTTAGGACCAGTGGGAAAACCCTACTGACCTTGGGAGCAGAAGATCTGACCCAAAAGCTGACAATGCTAACAGTGCTGTGACTTTGGATGAGTCATTTGACACCTCTGCACCTCTGGTTTCCTGGCTCTGCCATGGCGGACAATATAATCCCCCTCGTTGTTGTTCTGAAGACCCAACGAGAAGAGACGACGAAGACCTTAGAGAAGCTGTAAAGCAACGTGGAAATGTAAGAAACCCAAGGCTTCCAGTCTGACATGCACCTACCAGTGCCAAACAAAGCATTTTTCACTGTTACTGTGCAAAGTACCTAAGGTGAGAAATGTATGTAACACGTCCATTAAAAAGTGCCACAACAAAAAGAAAAAAGTTAGAATCATTATGGAGTTGTAGTTTTGACTACAAATGCTTTTTAGAGATTTTTTTTTTTAGAATTAAGGCTTTAGCTTTAGTCCCAATAAATTACAAGCCAAAAGAGCATATGTTTAAGGTTTATAAAATAAGAGGAAAAGGAAGCAATAGGAAAACAGAGAGGGGAATTAGCAGAATACGATCACAACATAGGCATCGTTTAATAAACTCTAAACTTAAAAAGAAGGCTGTTTAAATTTTTCTTTCTTTTCCAAAGTGTGTTCAAACACTCCCCCCGCTCTGTGAAGCAGGGGGGGACGTTGATGTGAGGAGTTAGAGCAGCTCTCCCTCGTTTTACCAGCCAGTGGCTAAAACACACAGAGAAAGAACCAAGACGAGAGCTGCTTGCAAGTTAATTCACAACTGTGGTATCTGGCCGGCTTTCTCCAGCTGTCTACACCCTAACAAGCACCATCACCTGGCCTCCAAGTCCACAGAAGCATAAAAGAAGCAACTGCAAGGGCAGAGGGAAGAGACCACAGGGAAGGTCGATGAGAAATGCAGTGGACAGCAATCAAAGAAACCAAAATGTTTTAAGAAATGGCAATGAGAAAAAAAGAAAACAAACAAAACAAAAAGACCCAAAACAAGACAAAAAGCCTGAGTCCCTTAATGAGAACTGAATTATATAGCCCAATTCTTACTGATGGCCATGAGTCATAATCAAAGTTAAATGAGCCTTGATATATTGCTTTCAAGATCAAAGGGAAAGGTATAATCCATTTTAGGGAGATTTCCATCACAAATTGTTAATGTTAATTCTTAAAACTTGGCTATCTTGAATAACCCAGTCCCTGAGGGTTCTAGATTATCATGTTTTTACTGTAGTTAGATAGTTTTATGGTTAATGTACTGTGGTATAAATAAATATAGCTTAGCCTAAGCATAGCCACTGAAAATATGTATGGCATAAAATGACAAATCTAATAGATCAATAACCAAACATGCAGTAAATAATTCAAGTATAAAAATATATAACATTACAACAAACTAAGATAAACTAGTCCTCTTCGAAATTGACAATACAGTTTTGCAAAATGGAGTTCTAAAATGAAAAACCAAATGTCTAAAGATAAACAGTGAGAAGGAGATATAAAATCATTACCTTACATACCCTACACTCATATGAAAAGAGGCTGTAGGAAAACAAACCTACCTTATGTATCTGTGTGATGCTCAAGTAATATTCTGCACGATTCTTAATTGGATTTACAACCTCAAGACATAGTAGCTACTCAGCAAACTACTGTTGAACTGAAATGTAATTTACCAGTTGTTTGGATGTCACACAAGTAAGAGATGAGACATATCAGGAATATCACAAACTCTCCTTGGGAGTGTCTAGAGATCTGAAACATAAGGAAAGTGAAAGAGAAGAATTTAACATTTTAAAGGAAACTGACCCACCGAAGACTACAATGCACACATTAACCTTGACCCCACCGAAGACTACAATGCACACATTAACCTTGACCACATCTGGGGGGAAAGCTGCTGGGTGAGTAAATGTCTCATTCTGATTAGTTTTTCAGAATAGGGGACTGTGACTAATCTAAAGACACTCAAAATAGTGCCCGGAGGTGGCAAGCACAAAGTCACAGTCCCAGCCTCAACAGCTCTCCTGGCACCAGCTTCACTACCTGACGGTCCCATTCAATTGGGCCCACAAAGCATGTCCTGATTGGTGGCTTTAGGGGAACAGGGTATCAGGTGACCTCTATGGAGCCTCTTGGGGACAGAAGGAGGTGAAAAAAGGCTCTATGTATTGTTCACAAGCCTCCTTTACCTCCCTCCTTGGTGCTGATTATGTTGGTTTTAGGGACGCCACCGTTTTAGATTTTTAATTTGCATGGCTATTTGATTTGAGCATTTTATAGACTATATCACCATAGAAGCAGGCATGCTTGTGTTTAATGTGTACTGGCTTAATTTAGGCATTGCTATACTGTCTACCACTCTATTAAGTCAAAGATGTCAGTAACTTTTGTATTTTTTCCACTAGGCTATGAATCAGGGACAGGATAACCACACCCTAGACACGGGTATCCTTGAAGACTCCAGCCTCACCCCAGCTCCTGACCAGCTACACTCTCCGCTCCGGGTCCAACATTCATGCAGCCCACCAACACACAGAGCGCTGCTGGCATTACAAAATCACTTTATGGCAAGGCTTGAATCACCAAATAGATTCATAGTAAGAACCTCATGTGTCTATCTCAGAACGACCCGTGTTCAAGATTTTATGAACACTTACATATGGTTAGCACGTGCCCTACATCTTCCACTCCACTGGTGAAGGGCATTTCAGGCCTCTGCAACTGATTGGCAAGTGGAGGCAGATTAGTCTTTGTTTATGATCTTTTGAGAAATAAAAGATCTGGGACATTTGAAACTCCAAAGGCAAACCTAGTGAGGTCTCTGAAAGGCTGTTCAGAGACAGGGTAGAAGAAGGGGGATATACTCTCTCTTCTAGAATAGGGGTGGGCAAACGGAATCCAGCCTGTGGACTATTTTTATAAATGTTATTGGACCACTTTTATAAAAGTGTCATTGGAACAGTCACAGTCACTTGTCTATGGCTGCCTTTGCAATGCAATGACAAAGTAGTTGTGCCAGAGATTGTCTGGGCCATGAAGCCCAAAATATTCACTATCTGGCTTTTCATAGAAGTTGCCAACCCCTATTTTAGAGTGTCTCTCCCTGAGAAGTTTGGGAATCCCAGCAAAGCTGCCTCCGTCCTGGAAGGCTGTCCCCCCACCCCCTTAAATAGCCTCTTCCCTACCTACCCTTCTGTCCCCTGCCCCAGTCCTGAGACGCCCAGGTGCTGGCTCCAGTGTTATTTGGCAGTGACTCCTGCCTAAATGCCTAAAACTCTCCCCCTTTCCGGTTGTGAAATGCCCATGAAGGCTGCACCCCATGAATTACTGGAGGTGTGGGTGAATCTGTAAATTCCCTGTCTGGCTCCACACTCACTGTTCAGAGACAGGGCAGAAGGGGGGGGATATCCTCTCTCTTTTAGAACGGCTTGCAGCCTGTTTTTGAAAACGTTACTGGAATTCTTTTGTACAAGTGTCATTGGAACACAGCCACACCCTCTTGTCCATGGCTGCCTTTGCATTGCAATGACACAGTAGTTGCCGGAGAGATAACTTGACACTGACTGAGCACCCGGGCCCTGCCTGTGCATCTGAACTCAAGTGCAGGAAAGCCCCAGTGAGGAAGATATTAAAGGGTGTGTGGCATTTCACCAGAAAAGGAAGGGAAGGGGGAAGGCCACCAAAAGGAAGAACTGGCCGACGCCCAGGTGGCGTGGCACTGGCTGTGCCTGCTAGGGTCTACCCTAGGAAACCAGCCATGGGGAGAGAGGGTGTACGGGCTGGAGGATGGGAAACCAAGTCCACCAAGTGCGAGGTCAGGTGGCGAGAGCCCTTGTGAATGTTGCTGCAAAGTTGAGAAGTGAGAGGCGAGAGGGTGTCTCTAAAGGCTTTAAGCAAGGGCAGGAAAGGATCGGATCCCATTTGAGGAAGATCACTCTCAGGGCAGGGTCGAGGTGGATGGGGTGGAGGTGTCTGTGCTCTCCCCTAGGCTGCTCTACCCTCTCCACCACGCCCACTCAGAGACTCCTCATCATTCTTTCCTACGCACCCATGCAGTTCAACCTTTGCCTCCGGCTCTTCGGGTACCTTCTAGACAACTGCAAAAATGGTTCCCACTCCTAATCGCCACTTTCTGAACTGCCTCCTGGTCCCATGCTTCTTCTTTTATCTGTAGTGAAGGACCAAATGTTTTGTTTGTAATTTCTGATCTGCTTAGAAAGGTATTTTTATAAAATACAAAATCGTACACTTGAGTGTCATGACAATGTCAAAGTGCTATACAAGTCTGCAAATGCTTTCTCTCATTTTGTGCATTTATCTGGTCACAGGTCAATAAAACGTGCTTTGGACTTTGAGTTTCCAGTCTGTCATGTAAAGAGCTTGGATGTTACCACTCCATCTTAACAAGGAAAAAGCTGAACAAACTGAAAAGCCAACAACTTTCCTTTGATCTGTAAGAGGGAGGTCACAAGACAAACTGCTGTCCTTCTAATTGGAGAGACACACAGGTAGACACAGAAAACAACTTCCCACAAAACCCTCTGCAGAAACCAGGGTTAGGGTAGGAAAACCTGAATTGTAATTGACCAATGGCCAGAGACTCAGTGTGCACAAACCCTCCAGTTAAAAACGCCAGGAGGACCCAGTCATGGACGCCTACAGGTTGTCTTAGTGAATATTGTAGAAAAATCCCTCCCATGCTTCTGGCTGGGGGTTAGGGTGAGGAAGTAACTATTGTAAAATATTCCAGAGCATTCTATTCTTCTTAAGAAGATCTGCCTTCAAGAGAAACTACTGAACCAGAGCGTAACCTAGTGGGGTATTATCAGAGCCCAGCTGGCTTGAGGGAAGTGAAATACCCAATTTCCACCCCCTCTAGACTTCCACAAGGGACAAGGAAACTATCCAACCTCAGCCCACTCTAGTCATCCTGTCCCGTCTATGAGGGGAGACTAAGAAACGTGGGAAGTTCACAGACGCACAGACTCACCGAAAGACGGAGACCTGCTCACAGGTGTGCAGAAAGCTTCCCCTCCCCCACCACTCACCACCACAGTACAGGCTACTTACAGTAGTTCCTTTATGCAGAACATCATTCTCAGCTACCAGAGTACAATTACAAGGCACACGAAAGGGCAGAAAAACACAGTTTGATGCAACAGAGTTAGCATCAGAACCAGACTCAGATATGGCAAAAATGTTGGAAATATCAGATTGGAAATTTAAAACAACTGTGATTGCTATGGCTTGTTTTTGTCCCCTCTAAAACTCTTGTATTGGAAACTTAATCCCGAAGGCAACAATGGGGAGAGTAGGCCCAAGTGGAAGTGTTTAGGTCATGAGGCCCCACCATCACGAGTAGATTAATGCCACTATAGAAAGGGCTCACAGGAGTAGGCTCTCTCTTTTTGCTCATCTGCCATGTGACAACACAGTGTTCATCCCTGTTTGCCCTTCTGCCTTCTGCCTTGTGAGGACAGAGCAAGAAGCCTTCACCAGACACCAGATGCTGGCGCCTTGATCTTGGACTTCCCAGCCTCCAGAACTGTGAGAAATAAATTTCTCTTCTTTATAAATTACCCAGTCTGTGGTATTGTGTTAGAGTAGCACAAACAGACTAAGACGATGATGAAGATGCTAATAGTTATAATGGATAAAGTAGAGAGCGTGGGAGGACAGATGGGAAATGTAAGCAGAGATATAGAAATTCTCACACAGAATCAAAAAGAAATGCTAGAGATCAAAAACACTGCAATAGAAATGAAGAATGCATCTGATGGGCTCATGAATAGATGGAGGAAAGAATCTCTGAGCTTGAATATATCTCAATCAAAACTGCCAAAACTGAAAAGTAAAGAGAAAAATGTCTGAAAAAAATAGAACAGAATTTCCAAAAGCTGTGGGATAACTACAAAAGGCTGTAGCTATGTGTAATGAGAATACTCAAAAGAAGAAGAAACAGAGAAAGGAACACACCAAAAAAAAATTTGAAGCCATAATCATTGAGAATTTTCCCAAATTAATGTCAGGTAACAAACTACAAATCCAAGAAGTTCAGAGAACACCAAGCAGAATTGATGCCAAAAAAACTCTACTGCTAGGCATATCATATTCAAATTATAGAAAATCAAAGATAAAGAAAAAACCTTGAAAGAATCCAGAGGAAAAAACACTTTACCTACAGAGGAGTTAAGATAAGAATTACATCTGACTTTTCAGAAACCATGCAAGCAAGCAGAGAGTAGAGTGAAATATTTGAAGTGTTAAGAAGAAAAGAATCCCACCAACATAGAATCCTATACCCTGCAAAATAACCCTTCAAAAGCGAAGGAGAAATAAATACTTTCTCAGACAAACAAAACTTGAGGAAATGTGTTACAAATAAACCTGCCTTGTAGGAAATTGTTTTAAAAAAACTCTTTAGAGAGAAGGAAAATTATGTAAGTCAGAAACTTGGATCTACATAAAGAAAGGAAGAAAGCAGAGAAGGAATAAATGAAAGAAAAATAAAAATATCTATTTTTCTTATTCGTAATTGATTTAACAGATAATCGGTTGTTCAAAATAATGCTAGCAACAATTGTATTTTATTATGTATGCTTCCTTTATATGCTTATGTTTAAGTAAAACTAATGACAGCAATGATATAAGGAATAGGATGGAGGAATTAAGATTATTTTGTTATTAAAAGGTAATCACACTACCCGTCAATCAGTACATTTTTATTTGAAAGAAGACTTGGATTGATTATAAATGTATATTGTAAACTCTAGGGCAACCAGTAAAAAAACATAAAAAAAAAAAGAAGTATAAGTGATATGGTAGGAAAGGAGAGAAAATGGAAACATGTAAAATGCATAGTTAAAATCACAAAAGGCAGAAAAAGAGTAGAAGATAAAAATAGAAAAAAAGAACAATGGCAATAAATAGAAAACAGTAACAACTATGGTACCTATTAATCCAACTATATCAATAGTCAGTCTAGGCATCAATGGTCTAAATGTACCAATTAAAAGAGACTGTATGCCGGGCGGTGGCTCACGCCTATAATCCTAGCACTCTGGGAGGCTGAGGCGGGAGGATTGCTCGAGGTCAGGAGTTCGAAACCAGCCTGAGCGAGACCGCGTCTCTACTATAAGTAGAAAGAAATTAATTGGCCAACTAATATATATAGAAAAAATTAGCCGGGCATGGTGGCGCATGCCTGTAGTCCCAGCTACTCGGGAGGCTGAGGCAGAAGGATTACTTGAGCCCAGGAGTTTGAGGTTGCTGTGAGCTAGGCTGACGCCACGGCACTCACTCTAGCCTGGGCAACAAAGTGAGACTCTGTCTCAAAAAAAAAAAAAAAAAAAAAAAAAGAGACTGTAAGAGAGTGGATCAAAAAACAAGACCTAACTATATATTTTCTATCAGAAATCCATTTTAAATACAAACACACATGCAGATTAAAAGTAAGTGGTGGAGAAAGCCATACCATGCTAACACTAATCAAAACAAAGTAGAAGTAGCTACATTAATTTCAGACAGAGCAGATTTTGGAGCAAGGAAAGTTATCGGTGATAAAGAGGAACATTATAGAGTAATAAAGGTGTCAATTCTCCAAGACATAATAATACTTAATGTGTAAGTACTTAATGAAAGAGTGTCAAAAATACATGAGGCAAAAACTGATAGAACTACAAGGAGAAACAAATGAATCCACTTATAGTTGGAGACTCCAATACTCCTATATCAGAAATGGGCAGGTCCAGCAGGCAGAAAATCAGTAAGGACAAAGTTGAACTCAACAGCATCATCAATCAACTGTATATAACTGACATCTATAAACTATTTCAGTAACAGAAGAATACATTCTTTTTTTTTTTTTTTTTTTTGAGACAGAGTCTCACTTTGTTGCCCAGACTAGAGTGAGTGCCGTGGCATCAGCCTAGCTCACAGCAACCTCAAACTCCTGGGATCAAGTGATCCTACTGCCTCAGCCTCCCGAGTAGCTGGGACTACAGCATGCGCCACCATGCCCGGCTGATTTTTTCTATATATATTAGTTGGGCAATTAATTTTTTTCTATTTATAGCAGAGACAAGGTTTCGCTCTTGCTCAGGCTGGTTTTGAACTCCTGACCTCGAGCAATCCACCCACCTCGGCCTCGCAGAGTGCTAGGATTACAGGCGTGAGCCACTGCGCCCAGCCAGAATACACATTCTTTATAAACTCACATGGAACATCCATCAAGATAGAACACATTTTGGGTCATAAAACACACCTTTACTAATTTAAAAGAATATAAATCTTACAATATCTGCTCTAAAAACAATGCAATTGAACTAGAAGTCATAAACAGAAAGATAGCTAGGAAGTCCCAAAATAACTGAAGATTAAACAACACACTTGTATAATAGGTAACATATGGGTCAAAGAAGGAATCTCAAGAGAATTTCAAAATAATTTGAACTAAATGAAAATGAAAACACAACTTATAAAACTAGAAAAAGAAGAACAGATTAAGTCCAAAGCAGGCAAAAGAAATTTTAAAAATAATAAACAATAAAATTATCGTAAGGTGTACAAGTAATCATACCAAGTTAATGCTTCCCACATAACCTGCAAATAAGACAAAAAAGCAAAAAAATGTAATTTTAAATTAAAAACACAGTATCAGGCGGGCGCTGTGGCTCACGCCTGTAATCCTAGCTCTTGGGAGGCCGAGGCGGGCGGATGCTCAAGGTCAGGAGTTCCAAAACCAGCGCTGAGCAAGAGCGAGACCCGTCTCTACTATAAATAGAAAGAAATTAATTGCCAACTGATTATATATATAAAAAAAAAAATTTAGCCGGGCAATGGTGGCGCATGCCTGTAGTCCCAGCTACCCTGCGGGGCTGAGGCAAGAAGATTCACTCAGGATCACTTGAGCCCAGGAGTTTGAGGTTGCTGTGAGCTAGGCTGATGCCACGGCACTCACTCTAGCCTGGGCAACAAAGTGAGACTCTGTCTCAAAAATAAATAAATAAATAAATTTTAAAAAATAATAATAAACAATAAAATTATAGTAAGGTTAAAGTTAATATACAAGTTAATTGCTTCCCCACATACCTGCAATAAAAAAGTGTAATTTTAAATTAAAAACACAGTATCATTAACATTAGTATCACTAAAAATAAAATAGTTAGAAATCTAACAAAATATGTATAAGATCTATATGAAGAAAACTAAAACACTGATGAAAAAAATCAAAGAACTAAATAAATGGAGAGATATTCCATGTTCATGGATAAAAAGACTCAATATTGTCAAGATGCCTGTTTTTCACAACTTGATCTACAAATTCAATACAATCTCGATCAAAATCCTAGCAAGTTATTTTGTAGACATCCACAAACTTATTCTGAAGTTTATGTGGAGAAGCAAAAGACCCAGATTAGCTGAGGAAAAGAACAATGATGAAGGACTGACACTACCAACTTCAAGACTTACTATAAAGTTACAGTAATAAAGACAGTGTAGTAGTGGTAAAAAAGTAGACAAATAGATCAATAGAGCCCAGAAATAGACTCATATAAATATAGTCCATTGATTTTTGACAAAGGAGCAAAGGCAATACAATGGAGAAAAGATAATCTTTTCAACAAATGATGCTGGAACAACTGGACATCCACATGAAAAAAATGAATCTAGACACAGGCCTTAACACCTGTCATAAAATTGACTCGAAATGGATCGTAAACCTAAATGTAAAATGTAAAACTATAAACTCCTAGAAGATAGTGTAAGAGAAAATCTAGAAGACTGGTGTTCGGCAATGACTTTTTACATACAATACCAAAGGCATCATCTATGAAAGAAAGAATTGATAAGCTGGACTTCATTAAAATAAAAAATTTCTGCGAGAATGAAAAGACAAGCTACAGATTGAGAGAAAATATTTGGAAAAGATATATCTGATAAGGGATTGTTATCCAAAATATACAAAGAACTTTTAAAACTCAACAATAAGAAAATAAGCAACCTGATTTAAAAAAATAGGCCAAATAATTTAACAGACATCTCACCAAAGGTACACATGGAAAAATACATGGGAAAATCATGGGAAAATATCCCATAGGATATCCCAAATATCCCAAAATATACATGGGAAAATCATCCCATGCATATATGGTCAACTGATCTTCAAAAAGGGTGCCCAGAATGCACAAGGGGAAACGATTGTTTCTTCAACAAATGGTGTTGGGAAAACTGGGTATCTACATGCAAAAGAATGAAACTGGACCCTTATCTTACACCATAAACAAAAATTAACTCAAATAGATTAAAGATTAAATATAATCAAATAGATTTAAATTTAATCAAATAGATTAAATACAAGACCTGAAACTGTGAAACTCATAGAAGAAAACATATGGGAAAAGTTTTATAAAATTGGTCTTGGCAATGATTTCATGGATACACCAAAAGCACAGATAAGAAAAGCAAAAATAGATGAGTTTGACTACATCAAACTAAGAAGCTTTTGCACAGCAAAGGAAAC